TTCTAAGTATGAAATTCCCTATGATAATGTATGTTCATTACTGAATGGTCTTTGACCGTTCGGTTTTTCTCGGGGACTCGTTTAGAACTGGAATCTTTCATTTGGAAGGAATTCCTGTTGAGGACCGAGCGTCTTTGTCTAGTAAAATTGGTGTATAGTCGTTCAATCCAAGGATATTCGTTCCTTGGCATCCTGATATAAATTTAAGTATATTTATATGTAGTAGTATGTCCATTCATTCTTGAACATTAGTTAATTGATATCGTATATTTATCACTTTATTCTATAAATTAAGTTGTGCTAGGTCTTCACTAAGCGCTCATATGATTAGTGCAGGTCTTTCACCAAGCACTCGTACTATTTCATGCTAGGTCTTTCACCAAGCGATCGTACTATTTAGTGCTAGGTCTTTCACCAAGCGCTCGTACTATTTAATGCTAGGTCTTTCACCAAGCGCTCGTACGATTTAATGTTAGGTCTTACACCAAGCGCTCGTTCTATTTTCTTGTAATCTATCTTGATAATAAGAGCGTTCGTCCAAACTCAATAGTGTTCACTCTCTACCGTACTCGGTCTTTGACTGACATTCGGTTTTTCTTGATGTTAAACTCATAAATAAGCTAAGTATTTATAACGTTCGGTTTCTTCATATGATTCTTTTAAATACTATTATTTGAATGACTTGTATGTCTATCTCCATTGGTTTCGGCCTAGAGTCTTAGTACTCGGTCTAGGGCTTTACGGTGTTCAGTCTAAACGCTCATGAGGTAGGGATGGCAAAAAAATCCGCAGCCCGGGATATCCGCAGAAAAATCCGTGACGGATGTTGGTAACCCGCCGGATATTATATTTCTTACCCCCGAGTTTTGCGGGGTTGCGATTTTTTAATGACCCCCGCTTATAAATTCGGGTGGGGCGGGTATTATACTATCCGTACTCCGACGGATATCCGCTAACCGCAAAAAATAAAAATAAAAATTTTAATTTATATTTATTAAGTTAAATTAATTTAAAATAACATTAATATATTTTATAAAGTTAAATATAATTAAAATTAAATTTTAATTATATTTAATTAATATATATATATTTTATATATTTTTTGTAATTTTATTTAAATTTTATTATAATATTTTATAAAAATATATTTTTTAAATATTTGTGGGGTATCCCACGGGTATATCCACGGATATTCCGCGTTTTTAAAAATATCCGCGGATTATTTTTAAGCGGATATCCATGCGGGTAACGGGTCGCGGTAGCGGGTGGATTTTTTTTTTGTCGGGTTCGGGTTTGCCGGTAGGCACTATCCGTTTGCCCGACCCGATCCGTTTTGTCCGTCCCATCCCTACTCATGAGTCAGTTCATTAATTGGGTCTCCACCTTGTAAATAACGTTCGCTTCTTTATCAGTCCTTGAGAAATATTATTTGTAATCAGTCTCTTCTCCCAAACCCGGATATTCACTCTCTCGGTTTTTGATCCGTTTTTGGGAAATGGAAACTCTCGATCTCAAAAAATCCAAGTGGGTTCGGCTTGGTTCGGGGTGGAGATGTACTCCGGTATTTTGTTATCCTAAGGGATCTTTCGTTCAAATTGAGGTTTTAATATGAAAGATAATGAAGTAATGTTTTATGGATGAAACAATTCAGTGATTTTGAAAGAAATTCCCGGGGAGGAATATCTCATGAATGAATTTATTGGAATTGGTAAAGTCTGAATGTGGGCATGCTAAGCTGGTAGTTACATCCTGATATTCCATGATTTACTCTGTTTCTTCACTTGAGAGAAGTAAGTCATGCGTGGGAATGGCAGAGGTTCTAGTTCCTTATGGTTAATTTGGAACAGATAGGACTAAACCTCGATGGCAGCCTGTTTAGGGTATCACAGTTACTACACCAATCACAGGGTTGCACAACTTTTTATAAAGCTACACAAGAGTTCATACAGTCCGAACAGTGAGAGTCTAGTCATTAGGCTTTGCATGAAAGAGAGTGAATTATCTTGTTGTTGATTTGTTTATGCGAAATATAAATGTTGAATAACATGAATTAAAATGACATTAAGCTTACCCTATGTTTCCTGTCTTGTCTGTTTTGTACGTTCGGTTGTCTTTCTGTTGCAATGATCATCCATGTGGATGTGAGCAGAAGTAGACGAGCTGCTGGAAGAAACGCTGGAAGAAGAAAATTTAGTTGAGGTAGAAGTTAAGACTGAACAGTAGAACCGTTCGGTCAATATATTAGTTTATTTGTAAGATGATCGTTCGATTATCTTTTCCCTTTTCTTTTGTATGACCGTTCGGTATAGGTTCCTTTTGTAAAACCGTTCAGTCGGGCATTGCCTTAAATTTTTTTTGTCAAGTTTTATAACTTCTTGTCATTTTCTCTGTAAGGCCCGTTTGGCCCATAAGTGTACGTTATTTTATCTTGTAAGACTGATCTAAAATATTATTAAATGTGATTATTCTATTATAAAATAGTTTTGGTATTATATATTTTTTTGGGATGTTAGATTGTTGAAAAAGAAAAAATATTATAACAGAAAAAAATTCTTTATGATCAATAATAAAAACAACAAATACAATTTTAAAAATCATATTTTATTTCTATTCTTTTTGTTACAAATTATTATAGCAATAACAAAAATTCTAAATATATTACAAAATGAATGTCTTTCAAAGATTCTATAAATAACATATATTTTAAAAAACAAATCTTCAAACAAATTAAGTAAAACATTATTATTTTTTAAATGGATGGAGCTCAAATTTTAACTGATTTTTTTAATGTTCTTATCAGAAATTACTTCGAAATTAGAGTTCCCAAAAATTGAACTGTGAAAAGTTTTTTTAATCAAAAAAAAAGAATTAAAATATGAACCATTGGAAAATAAAAAAATTAAAATAATTTCTTAAAAATATGAAATTAAGTTTTATTGCTTTGATAAAAATACAAATAGGAATAAATTTTATTTTGTCATATAATGAAAAATAAAAATTTTCTTATTATTATAATAGTTTGTAAAAGAAAAAAAATGAATAAAAAATAAAATACAAATTCCATTTTAAAAATTTTATTTATAATTGTTTTATTGTATTTATTATGTATCATAAAAATAATTTTTTATTATAACATTTTTTAATAATTAAATAATACAAACATTTAATTTTCAATTATATGAAAAAATCCTAAATAACTTTATTTATGTTTATTGAATACTTTAATATTTTTTTTTTATAATTTTTTGGATTTTTAAACATTTAATGTTATTAATAATTTGTTTTATTTTTTCATTATTTTAGAAAAAGGTTTTATTTGTTTTTGTTTAGGTTTTTTTTGGGTGGTAGGTGGCCTAAAAACACATTGAGATGACATAACGCATACGCTATAATTAAGTATAGTTGAGAGTTTTTTTTGGTTACTGTTTGTCAAGTATTTTGAATTTAGAACAACATTTGGTTTAAACTAGGTTTTTATTTTTTTTTTCCTACGCTCACGGGGGTGGGTACTATTTTTTTTGTTTTTCTTTTCTGTTTATTTTTGTTTTTAGGGATTTTTTTCCTATTTTTTGTTGTTTCTAAAACCAACTCATGTACTTTTTTCACTTCGAATTCATTTAATATTTTCCATTTTTTAATTCCCTAAACCAGAGAAACCAAAAAAAAAACAAGACCCCGTGGGCCTAACTCCAAATTCTGAGCCCAAAAAATAGTTCACGGAACGGCATATTCGCATCCCCGCGAGGGACGATAAACTACCACTCACGTATCGCCACGTGTCGAAGAGCAAAAGAAAGAGAACCATAAATCGAACAAAGAAGCTATAAGTGGCGACGCGAGTCTCTCACCGCTCGGAATCAAATATTCCTGAAATCATCGCATTCCCTTCGCTGCCCCTTCCCAATTCCCTTCCCTGGTACTCTCTCTCTCTCTCTCTCTCTCTCTCTCACTTTCTTGTTTGGAAATTATTGTTTTGAAAATTTTTTTGATTTTCATATCGTTTTTTCTGTTTTTCCTTTCAATAAATTTTCAATTCCGTTTGTTAATTGGTCCTTCTCCGGTTGGTAATTGTTTTTTTTGTTGTCCGATAACAACCCCTACCCTAATTTCGCGCTCTTGTAAAACAAGGGGGGTTTCGTGATTTAAGTGGTTCGAGTTTTTTTTTTCGGTTAGAAAATCTCGCTGTCCTACTGTTGCTTATGTCGATTTCAGTTTATTTAAGTTCCTAAGTATGTTTTGTTGGAATGACAAATAGACTTTTTTTTTTTTTCCTCAAAATCTTATTTTCGTTGTCTTGAAATGTGTGGCAAACGTTGTTGGAATTGGATTTTTTCCGGTCCTCTTTAGGCCTTGTTTTGAATTTGAATTTTGTTTATTTTATGACAGTTGTTTGTTGTGGAGTGTGTTATGATTATGTATTTGGTTGGGTTTTTATGGTAACGAAAATTTTTGTGGAATATTTTTGAAGTTAATTTTTCTAATTGGTGTCATAAATTGTGATTTTTAACTCCGGGAATTTCTCCCGTTTTTTGTTTTTCCCGTTTTTTTTTTGGGTGAATTGGAAACGGCAGATGTCCCCAATTTGGATCTTCAATGGATTCAGCCAACCACTGGAGCCATACCTTCGTTTTCCCTGTATTTTTCGGGAAACAGAACAAACGCCTCCTCTGCCTGGGTTTTTGCTTCTTCTTGCTGCCAAAGTTTTTGGGAACTCCATTTGCCTACATCAACTTTCTCTTGATTCAGGCCATTGACAGGAGTCCATCTGCGGTGGGGGTTTTGGGAAACTTCGGGGTGGTTAATCTATAGTCATTTTTGGTTTGGTCATCAGCAGCAGCATATTTGGATCCCTGATTTCTGAGCGGGTGAGAAATGGTTTTTCCTCTCAGTTTTTCTTTTCGGGTTTACTGAAGGGTGGTTACAACCTCACAGACTAATTTACTCTTTGTCCTGCAAACCCTGCCTGATACTGTGAACCACGGAGCATATGAGCTAGATTTCTTCCCCTCCTGAAATGTATTCGGCCCCAGTTAACTGTTAGATTTTGACAACATTGATTCCACTTATGGTTGAACCTGTAGAAGACGTGAATGAGTTTGGTTTATGGAATGAACCCAAACCAGTCATTTACACCCGAATCTCATTCCTCTGGTTTTTTTTTTTTTGGCCCTTCTGCCCCTTGTGTTATAGTTTTAGTCAATCACTTACTTTTAACAACTCACCATACAATGAGACTGAGGATTCACTGGAACTAGTGGATTATGCTGATGAAGAGACCTTTAAGGACATTAAAGAATCCTCCTTTGTCGAAGAGTCTTTGAAAGATGAAGACGGGAATATCTCAAAAACCCAAAGAGTTAGCATTGAAGATTTTGAGATTTTGAAGGTTGTGGGGCAGGGTGCATTTGCTAAAGTATATCAGGTGAGGAAGAAAGGTACTTCAGAAATTTATGCTATGAAGGTTATGCGGAAGGACAAGATTATGGAGAAGAACCATACTGAATACATGAAAGCTGAGAGGGATATCTGGACAAAGATAGAACACCCTTTTGTTGTTCAACTCAGATACTCTTTTCAGGTACTTAATTTCGAAATGGCATGACCCTTTCTTTTCTTCCTGTTTTTACTATCATTGTGTATTTTACGCAAAATCTAAATGAACATTTTATTTCTGTAAATTATGGATATATTTTGAAGTACTTTATATCCAGAATTGTTTTCTTTGTTAGTAAAATGCTAACTCATGTTACATCTATACGCTCTTTCAGACAAAATACAGACTGTATCTTGTGCTTGATTTTGTAAACGGGGGCCATCTCTTCTTCCAGCTTTATCACCAAGGCCTTTTTAGGTGAGTTTAGCTGAGATTTTTTGTTTCTTCTGTTTCTGTTTTTAATTTGCAGAATTAATTTTTGGTTCTATTTTTGTCTACTATTCAGAGAGGATCTAGCACGCATATATGCTGCGGAGATTGTTTCTGCAGTTTCTCATCTTCATTCAAATGGAATAATGCACAGGGATCTGAAGCCTGAAAATATTCTACTGGACGCTGATGGCCATGTACACTGTCCTCCCTCCCTACCTCCCTCATGTTTTTCATTGTGACTTTAAACCGTGCTTTCATACCTGTAATAACTGAACAGTTGTTCTTTTTTGATATACTAGGTTATGTTGACTGATTTTGGCTTAGCAAAACAATTTGAAGAGAGTACTAGATCAAATTCGATGTGTGGTACATTAGAGTACATGGCACCTGAAATTATTCTTGGCAAAGGCCATGATAAGGCTGCTGATTGGTGGAGCGTAGGTGTTCTACTGTTTGAGATGCTTACTGGAAAGGTTTGCATCTCTTTCCTTCTTAAGCTGTGAGGCTGCTTTTTCTTTTGGGTCTTTGTAGTTAGATTGTCTTTTTTTGGAAAGGTTTGCATACTAGTTGAGGAAAAATATATTTTAGTAAATTTAATTGGCTCTAAATTATGATCATGGGGTTTAAGAGGAGTGAAGTCTGTGTCAAACTTATACTTGCATCAAATACTACCTAATCATGGCACAATAATGCACTTTTACTGTGTTTGATGTTTTTTCCTTTTGTTTCCTGGCTGCCTTAGGGTGCAAGAAAACTTATCCAAAACAAGTACCTTCTTTGAAAGCTACATGTTTGTACCTGTTTTGGAAGATATCAAACTACTGTTGGTTGTCTGAAACCAAAACACTAGTCTTAATTATGTCATTTACATGTCAATGTTATATTTTCTTTTCGTTTAAAGATTTTTTTTTGTATAACAACTCTAGGCAGCATAAATGTGGTTTGTTCTAGTTTTCCTCCTCTGTCAGTTCTTGTTGAGTTATAATTGCACGATTTATTAAATGTTTAATTGGCCATAGGATGATAATGTAGCTTCATAATTGATTTTGAAATGCTTAAATATTTTGTATTCAGGAACAGCAGTTTGAATTCAATAACAATAAATATTCAATTTATTTAATTCAATTGAAGTGCTTTCCTGTTCTGTGCCAGTTCTTGTGGAGTTATGATTGTGTGATTTATTAATTGTTTAATCGCCCAGAGGATAAGGATAAGATAAGGATAGTATACTTTAATTGATTGTATAACGGTACATTTTTTTTGTTCAGTAAGACAATGTTCGTATCTTTGCATTTCATGTGTAGAAATGTTCAATTTATTGAACTTAATTGAAGTACTTTCAAGCTTAGAGCTGGGTCTACCGAAGCACCATGGTAGCTTGCTTGTTATTCGAGTTTCAAAGTGCACTCAATTTTGTTTCTTTTAAGCAAGTTAGTCAAGTTTATTTGTGTTTTAGCTTGCAGACAATTTTCCCCCTTTCCTCAAGCTAAAAGGAGAAAATAAAGGAAGGGGAGAACGTCAATTTTGGGAATTTCTAGGACAGTATGACCACAAATATTATTTGGTTCATTGCTNATAACAACTCTAGGCAGCATAAATGTGGTTTGTTCTAGTTTTCCTCCTCTGTCAGTTCTTGTTGAGTTATAATTGCACGATTTATTAAATGTTTAATTGGCCATAGGATGATAATGTAGCTTCATAATTGATTTTGAAATGCTTAAATATTTTGTATTCAGGAACAGCAGTTTGAATTCAATAACAATAAATATTCAATTTATTGAATTCAATTGAAGTGCTTTCCTGTTCTGTGCCAGTTCTTGTGGAGTTATGATTGTGTGATTTATTAATTGTTTAATCGCCCAGAGGATAAGGATAAGATAAGGATAGTATACTTTAATTGATTGTATAACGGTACATTTTTTTTGTTCAGTAAGACAATGTTCGTATCTTTGCATTTCATGTGTAGAAATGTTCAATTTATTGAACTTAATTGAAGTACTTTCAAGCTTAGAGCTGGGTCTACCGAAGCACCATGGTAGCTTGCTTGTTATTCGAGTTTCAAAGTGCACTCAATTTTGTTTCTTTTAAGCAAGTTAGTCAAGTTTATTTGTGTTTTAGCTTGCAGACAATTTTTCCCCTTTCCTCAAGCTAAAAGGAGAAAATAAAGGAAGGGGAGAACGTCAATTTTGGGAATTTCTAGGACAGTATGACCACAAATATTATTTGGTTCATTGTTTTTGTTATTGTAATACTATATGTCTGTTAGTTGTAATGGCCTGGGAACTGAATAGCTGTTAGGTCTTTTGGAGTTGCTAAATGTTTGTTGATGTTGTCTCACCTCCTCTGCAGCCCCCTTTCTGTGGTGGTAGCCGTGACAAAATTCAGCAGAAGATAGTTAAAGACAAGATCAAGCTACCAGCATTTTTGTCAAGTGAAGCACATTCACTGTTGAAAGCGGTAATCACTACTCCACATAAATTATTTCCTTTGATTATTTTGATATAGTTCATCATCAAAGTCATCATAATCTATATCTTATATATAATTGTTTGATGCAATGATGCTCTGCTTCACCTTTACATCTTAAATTACCGTTGTGAAGATAGGCTTGATATATTTTAAACTGGCTTTCTCTACTTAAGCATGAAGTGAGTGATGAACTGGACCACAAGAATTCTATTTTCTGGTATCTTTGCAGATACCGTAAAATGTTTGAGATAAAAATTGCGATACAATTACTAATTGGATTAACTTGAAGTCTTGAGAACATTGGTCTGGAAAAAGACTTAATTTCCAATGTAGTTGTTTAATCAACCAAACTAACGTATACCGAAGTAAATTAAATACGGAGGTGCAAATACTTATGAGATTGTGAATTGCCCTAAACTGAAGGTTATTAATAAAATCAGTGTTAGTTTTCTTTGGGGCATGATCACTAATGCATCTATTGTGACGCTTTTTTCCATAGACTTTAAAAGGATCGAGTTTGTATCACAAATATGAATTACTCTTTTCCTAAAATGCTGTAGAAAATTCACAACTTTTTTTCGTTGTAAGAGATTTCTATTCCTTGATTCGCATTCTATTGAGTTTTTCTACTATAGCTAATTTACTAGTAGACAGAAGTTGTAACATATATTAAGATGATTATCCCTATTTCAGCTGCTACAGAAGGAAGCAACGAAGCGCTTAGGTTGTGGAGCCCGGGGAGTTCAGGAAATTAAGGGACACAAGTGGTTTAAACAAATCAATTGGAGAAAGCTGGAAGAACGAGAAATCCAGCCAAGCTTTATCCCAGACGTAGCTGGTACGCACTGTGTTGCCAACTTTGAGAAACGCTGGACTGATATGCCTGTTGTGGACTCGCCAGCTGCCAGCCCAAATGGTGGAAACCCCTTTAAGGACTTCTCTTACGTGAGGCCTGCACCTTCTTTTCTTCAGAGGAATAGCCNCATTTTATTTCTGTAAATTATGGATATATTTTGAAGTACTTTATATCCAGAATTGTTTTCTTTGTTAGTAAAATGCTAACTCATGTTACATCTATACGCTCTTTCAGACAAAATACAGACTGTATCTTGTGCTTGATTTTGTAAACGGGGGCCATCTCTTCTTCCAGCTTTATCACCAAGGCCTTTTTAGGTGAGTTTAGCTGAGATTTTTTGTTTCTTCTGTTTCTGTTTTTAATTTGCAGAATTAATTTGTGGTTCTATTTTTGTCTACTATTCAGAGAGGATCTAGCACGCATATATGCTGCGGAGATTGTTTCTGCAGTTTCTCATCTGCATTCAAATGGAATAATGCACAGGGATCTGAAGCCTGAAAATATTCTACTGGACGCTGATGGCCATGTACACTGTCCTCCCTCCCTACCTCCCTCATGTTTTTCATTGTGACTTTAAACCGTGCTTTCATACCTGTAATAACTGAACAGTTGTTCTTTTTTGATATACTAGGTTATGTTGACTGATTTTGGCTTAGCAAAACAATTTGAAGAGAGTACTAGATCAAATTCGATGTGTGGTACATTAGAGTACATGGCACCTGAAATTATTCTTGGCAAAGGCCATGATAAGGCTGCTGATTGGTGGAGCGTAGGTGTTCTACTGTTTGAGATGCTTACTGGAAAGGTTTGCATCTCTTTCCTTCTTAAGCTGTGAGGCTGCTTTTTCTTTTGGGTCTTTGTAGTTAGATTGTCTTTTTTTGGAAAGGTTTGCATACTAGTTGAGGAAAAATATATTTTAGTAAATTTAATTGGCTCTAAATTATGATCATGGGGTTTAAGAGGAGTGAAGTCTGTGTCAAACTTATACTTGCATCAAATACTACCTAATCATGGCACAATAATGCACTTTTACTGTGTTTGATGTTTTTTCCTTTTGTTTCCTGGCTGCCTTAGGGTGCAAGAAAACTTATCCAAAACAAGTACCTTCTTTGAAAGCTACATGTTTGTACCTGTTTTGGAAGATATCAAACTACTGTTGGTTGTCTGAAACCAAAACACTAGTCTTAATTATGTCATTTACATGTCAATGTTATATTTTCTTTTCGTTTAAAGATTTTTTTTTGTATAACAACTCTAGGCAGCATAAATGTGGTTTGTTCTAGTTTTCCTCCTCTGTCAGTTCTTGTTGAGTTATAATTGCACGATTTATTAAATGTTTAATTGGCCATAGGATGATAATGTAGCTTCATAATTGATTTTGAAATGCTTAAATATTTTGTATTCAGGAACAGCAGTTTGAATTCAATAACAATAAATATTCAATTTATTGAATTCAATTGAAGTGCTTTCCTGTTCTGTGCCAGTTCTTGTGGAGTTATGATTGTGTGATTTATTAATTGTTTAATCGCCCAGAGGATAAGGATAAGATAAGGATAGTATACTTTAATTGATTGTATAACGGTACATTTTTTTTGTTCAGTAAGACAATGTTCGTATCTTTGCATTTCATGTGTAGAAATGTTCAATTTATTGAACTTAATTGAAGTACTTTCAAGCTTAGAGCTGGGTCTACCGAAGCACCATGGTAGCTTGCTTGTTATTCGAGTTTCAAAGTGCACTCAATTTTGTTTCTTTTAAGCAAGTTAGTCAAGTTTATTTGTGTTTTAGCTTGCAGACAATTTTCCCCCTTTCCTCAAGCTAAAAGGAGAAAATAAAGGAAGGGGAGAACGTCAATTTTGGGAATTTCTAGGACAGTATGACCACAAATATTATTTGGTTCATTGCTTTTGTTATTGTAATACTATATGTCTGTTAGTTGTAATGGCCTGGGAACTGAATAGCTGTTAGGTCTTTTGGAGTTGCTAAATGTTTGTTGATGTTGTCTCACCTCCTCTGCAGCCCCCTTTCTGTGGTGGTAGCCGTGACAAAATTCAGCAGAAGATAGTTAAAGACAAGATCAAGCTACCAGCATTTTTGTCAAGTGAAGCACATTCACTGTTGAAAGCGGTAATCACTACTCCACATAAATTATTTCCTTTGATTATTTTGATATAGTTCATCATCAAAGTCATCATAATCTATATCTTATATATAATTGTTTGATGCAATGATGCTCTGCTTCACCTTTACATCTTAAATTACCGTTGTGAAGATAGGCTTGATATATTTTAAACTGGCTTTCTCTACTTAAGCATGAAGTGAGTGATGAACTGGACCACAAGAATTCTATTTTCTGGTATCTTTGCAGATACCGTAAAATGTTTGAGATAAAAATTGCGATACAATTACTAATTGGATTAACTTGAAGTCTTGAGAACATTGGTCTGGAAAAAGACTTAATTTCCAATGTAGTTGTTTAATCAACCAAACTAACGTATACCGAAGTAAATTAAATACGGAGGTGCAAATACTTATGAGATTGTGAATTGCCCTAAACTGAAGGTTATTAATAAAATCAGTGTTAGTTTTCTTTGGGGCATGATCACTAATGCATCTATTGTGACGCTTTTTTCCATAGACTTTAAAAGGATCGAGTTTGTATCACAAATATGAATTACTCTTTTCCTAAAATGCTGTAGAAAATTCACAACTTTTGTTCGTTGTAAGAGATTTCAATTCCTTGATTCGCATTCTATTGAGTTTTTCTACTATAGCTAATTTACTAGTAGACAGAAGTTGTAACATATATTAAGATGATTATCCCTATTTCAGCTGCTACAGAAGGAAGCAACGAAGCGCTTAGGTTGTGGAGCCCGGGGAGTTCAGGAAATTAAGGGACACAAGTGGTTTAAACAAATCAATTGGAGAAAGCTGGAAGAACGAGAAATCCAGCCAAGCTTTATCCCAGACGTAGCTGGTACGCACTGTGTTGCCAACTTTGAGAAACGCTGGACTGATATGCCTGTTGTGGACTCGCCAGCTGCCAGCCCAAATGGTGGAAACCCCTTTAAGGACTTCTCTTACGTGAGGCCTGCACCTTCTTTTCTTCAGAGGAATAGCCCTGCGTACTAACCAGACAACTTGTAACGGCTTTTACTTAAGATGCATATGTTTTTATAGTTCTCTTATTCTTCTCATTAGTTAGTTGCCTGTATCTGGATGCGTGAACAGTGAGTGATAGACTGTCACAATTGTCAACACTAAAAGAATTTTTTGTGCCCCTAGCTAGGACTTGTGTGTAAAATCTACAGGTTGTGAGTTCAGTCACTTATTTATGTGCCTTGCAGCTCCACAATTCTATTAAGATGTATGTCATGTCTGGAGGAAATAAACTGCTTTTTTTATACACTGATTTACTTAGCATTCATTATCTTCCATGAGAGTTTAAAGATGTTGAAAGTAATTTTTGCCAACATCCAATTTTACAATTTGGAAATGAAGATTTATCAATCAATAGCGATTGCTTCAAAATTTCTAATGTCGTCTTATGTATCTCGTCTATTCATCGTCATTGAAAACCTTCAGGATCTATTATTATAGTTTAGATAAATTAGTTTTTGAAACTATTTGTTTAACTTTCCAATCATACTAATTGGTTTTATTTTAATAATCTAGAATATTAATTGTTGGTCGTGTTTGACTTTATACTATTGGTATCCATTGTACCGATTGTCCAAAACTACAACTATGTTTTATACTTTCATTTGCATTAACAATCAGCAAAGTATGAATTAACCGGGGATATTTATTCAAATTAAAAACTTAAATAACTATGATAAGTTTTCAAACTAATCCTTTAACTCTAATATTTCGTCTTTCTCTTTAACCAACCAGTGGATGACTTCGTTTCTAATAATAATAGTAATTATTAACATAAATATTTTTTAATCCCTCAATTTAACATAATTGCTTTTTTGTTCTTTTTAAAAAATATCCTGCACAAATTAGTCTTTGAAAAGCAGTGTTACTTCATTTTTGCTTATTTGATTGATATTGTTGTTTGCGTGATAAATAAAAAGATACGTCACCAACTATTATTTATGATGAATGAATCTATCATAATAAAATTTGGACATGTTGGTCATTTTTTAATTTTTTTACTAAATCTATAATGTTGATGGAAAGAATTATAACTTTTTTTTCTCTAAATAATAAAATTGGTTGGATGAAAATCACGTTTTCCCTTAGATTGGGGTCGTGAAATTTATGTTTTCCAGAAAATGAAACTGATGTGATGAGTAATGATGCCAATTTTTTAGAAGAGTAATTTCTACTTTTTCTTAAGGATTAAAATGAATAAAAGAAATTCTTACAGGATTAATTTCTGCATTTATTTTTGAAGAAATTTAAAATGAATAGTGTAAGGCTAGAAACATATTAAATACTTTATTTTTTGTGTGAGGTTTTGTTGGATGAGGCTTGGGGTGATTTTGAACCTAGAAAATAAAGAGAAAAGGTGGATAAAGAAAGGAGGAACAGATGGCCCAAGAGCTACCATGCACGCTGACGTTATTCATTTCTAGCTTTTAGTTTTTGGCTTGGGGTCATGGCTTCTCTGCTTCCTACAACTACAACAACACTTCAACTTAATCGTACCATCTGCTTCTCTCCTCTCAAACTCAGCATCCCAATTGCCATTTCCTTTTCGACAAACCGTTTCAAGAGTACCTCTGCAAAGTGTAATGCAGTTTTTGGTGATATTCCCAAAGACTTGTTGGAGACCACTTTTCACTTGGACCAGTTTTCTGTCTTCCAATCAGTGTTAGTAAAGTTTCAGCATGTAACTGAAGATTTATCAGACGTGCAGAGGTGGGGGTTTGTGATACTTGCCGGGCTGACATGGGCCTATTTAACTGCGAGGCCGGGTGTCCTTGTTGGCGCCATTGATGCATTCCTTTTGGCCCCTATTCAACTGGTTTTGGACAGTTTATCTGGAAGAAGAAATCTTAAGAGGACTGATTTTCTTATTGGAGATAAACTAGGAGAAGGTTCTTTTGGTGTTGTTTATTCAGGTGTTTTCGTCCCAAAGAATGTAGATGCACAAGAGTTGATGCAAAAAAATGGAAGAGGCAAGGTGAAAAAGTTGGATGCCAAATCTAAGGATAAAGTCATTCTTAAAAAGGTAGCCTCATGATATTCGCTTATTTTCCAATGCTTCCTTAGCTTATGGGGTCGTTTTTGGAACTAAATGGATATGATTTACTGACATTGCTTCTCACTTACTGTTTTTGAATTAGTTCCGGTCGTATGTTCCTCTTTGTTTCTTTAATATAATAGAGATTTTTTTTTTTCTGTTCACTTTCAAGTTTGAAGGGTTTGAGGGGAAAAAGTGGGAAATGTGCTGTAGAGGTTTTGCTCTCTTCAGAAAAGGACGCTAACACCCATGTTTCTTTTTGTTTTGGAGGATTATGATCCTTTTGCTCTTTCTCTTTTTCTCTCAGAAATTTCTCCTTTTTTAATAAAGGGAAAATAGATAGATAGACTAGATTTCGAATATTTAATCTTTATGTTGTTGATGGTAAATTCCAAACTTGTGTGCTGACTTGGTTTATCATCTCATATTATGATGTAAATCTTTTTCTTTTTCTGTTTATATCATGAAGCCTGTTAAATGTACTCAGGAGCTGACTGACAGAATGTGCAGGTAAAGGTTGGAATTGAAGGGGCAGAGGAATTTGGTGATTTTGAGGAGTGGTTCAATTACAGACTCTCCAGAGCAGCTCCTGAAACGTGTGCTAAGTTTCTTGGAAGTTTTGTAGCTGACAAAACGAATTCACAGTTCACAAAAGGTGGAAAATGGCTAGTTTGGAAGTTTGAGGTACTCTACCAAATATTCTTTTAGGATAAAGAACCATCCATAGGTTGCCTACGCATGCAGCCATGCATCACCTAACTCACGAATTTTGTCACAAATTTGCCATGGTATTGAATGACGTTGTGTGCATACCCACACAGTGGTATAAGACTTTGCTGTGGTTTGTTATGGCGAATTTAATTCAAAATGTTGTCATGAATATGGTGCAAAAGTAACTAGCTCTGGCTCTTGTTTATCCCTTCATTTATTTGAACGGATTGCATAACTTAATGCATGCAGATATGCTCCAAACATATTTTATGATATACCAACTATTCCATAAACTAATTGCAGGGTTGTCCACATCACAGGGAGGGCGCTCTCTTGCTGATTACATGACTGATCAAAACTTCCCATCAAACTTAGAGTCTACCATGTTTGGACGTGTCTTGCAGGGTGTAGACTCTTCTAAACGAAATGCATTAATCGTCAAGCAAATAATGCGCCAGATCATTTCTTCTCTTAAAAAAATTCACGACACTGGAATTGTTCATAGGGATGTTAAGCCTGCCAACTTGGTAGTTACCAAACGAGGGCAGATTAAACTCATCGATTTTGGTGTTGCAACAGACCTTAGAATTGGAAAGAATTATGTTCCCAATCGTAACCCCTTGGACCGTGACTACTGCCCGCCTGAACTGTATGTTCTACCCGAAGAAACTCCGAGTCTTCCACCAGAGCCAATTGCAGCTTTCCTTTCACCAATCATGTGGCAGGTTTTATTTATATACTTTATTGATGTAGCAAAATTAAGTTTCTTCCCTAATGGTGACATCAAGTCAGTTTTAGGAAAATTATATAATACGGGCTTTAACAATTGTTGCACTTAGTGAAAGCAGTATATAGGACAATATCTTCACTGAATCCTGTATAATTAATTAAGGCACTTCTGTTAAATGAATGTTTCAATAACACATTGACTTAAGTAAGTACTGTTGTGGCTAGCATTACTGTATTAGAAATATCTTCACGGGGATTTCTAAATTGCTCCAAGCCTGAGTTATTCATTTTCCTATAGATTTTGCATCAATTAGTATTTACAGATTGTGGCATGGTTGGCACTGTTCGGTAATTAATCTGTATGGAATCATTTCATTCACGTACACATACCTTTTTAATGTGCATGAATCATCCCATGATTTATCCTCTTGTTTGTTTTTACAGTTAAAGAGTCCTGATCTGTTTGATATGTATTCTGCTGGGATTGTATTCCTGCAAGTAGCAATTCCAACCTTAAGATCTTCAGTTGCTTTGAAGAATTTCAATTTGGAGATAAGAACTTGTGGATATGATTTGAACAAATGGAGAGCGTCTACTCGCATGAGGTCTGACTTCCAAATTCTTGATAGTGACTCTGGAAGAGGTTGGGACTTGGCAACAAAGCTTATCTCCAAGAGATGTTCACAATTAAGAGGACGTTTTTCTGCTGCTGCTGCTTTGAGGCATCCTTATTTCCTTCTGGGTGGGGATCAGGCCGCCGCAGTCCTTTCAAAACTAAGCTTTTAAAGCACAAAGTGCGCTGCTTAGAAATGCTATGTAGGTATACTTGCACCATTCTATGATTGTTTCATTTTTTCACCTGGTTAATATTTCTGACTCTTAAATAAGCTTCAGCAAATCCTTGTTGGCTCCTGAAAATGTGTCTACAGTAGTACACTAAATAATTAGATTTGCACATGGAAACCATAATTTCTTTTGACTAAATCAAACAAGATGCATTTAGATCATTATGCAAGCAGCTAGAACTTTATATGGTTGTCTTTTGCACCTTAAGGTTGTGAGAACAATTAGTTGTTAGTTGTAAAGTTAGTTAGAGGGGAGTTCTGAAGTAAGTAGATAGGAGTAGGATGCAAGGAAGGGATAATGAGATCAGTATCACATATAGAGTAGGCCATTGCTCTTTGTGAAAGGATAAATCCTTAACAAGAAGTGTGCAGTACAATGTGTTCGTTAACAAAAGTAGTGTCAAATCTAAGATTATGTGTTTCTATTGGCCTTTTGTTGAAGCCCAACAAGTTTATGAGCCGAAAGAGCCATTGGTCCAGGAGGGGACATGAGACACCTAAGGTATGTGCACAAAAGAAAAAAAGGAAAATTTTCAAGCTGAGGTAGCATGAGTAAGTGGAGAGGTTGTTACAAACTGGAGGTGGCATAAGTAGTGGGAGGTGGTTAGATGTGGGAGAATATTTTTGTTAGTGTCTCATGAGGCAGAGGGGAAAGGGGGTTATGATCTGATTTTCTGTTAGAGGAGCTATGCTATGGGAAATTAGAGGTTTCCTCCTTTTGTAGTTTCCTTTAAATTGCAAATAACATACAATTCTGTAGTGCCTTCATATTTTCTGCTTTTCTTTTTACCACTATAATATTGGTCTGTAATACCTCTGATTAAACTGATAATATGCAGGTATAGTATACCTATTTGTTTTTGCTCTTTTGATGAGTACAACCCACATCACTGTTAATTGAAGAAGTTCTCTGGGGCAATGTTATTAAAACACGTCTGTTTTCTTCCGGAGGAGCTCCTATGATATGGATAAAATGGCATCCCATCTAAAGGCCGACTAATTTATAAATTTAGAAGCAGAAATTCGCAGATTTTCTTCCATATTTTCTATGTTTAAGCCCGAGAACCTCAAGAAGATCTGAAAGAAAAAAGCTAAGATAGCTGCCTAGCATGTTGGCGGTCTAAATCCATACATGCCTTCCTAGTTATCTATATCTCCTCCCAAAATCAATGGCTTATTTAAATTCAGGAAGGAGTACTCAATGGCTTACAAAGGCTTAACAAGCCTTTTCTCTCATGATGTTTTCTTCAAGGGGTAAATATTCAGAGTTTGGCAGGACATCACCAGTAATGTCAATGGCTACAAAAAATATAGAACTGAAGGAAGAGACAATCTATTGCTTTTTTTCTGATAAGTAAGGATGTTTTACTTATCCATGATATTTAAGATTGGATGGTTTATTTATTCAATTTCATTTGACACTTCCAATCAACCATTGCTCTTGTACGAAACTGTTGTTCATTGTATTCCAATCTACAATTTGCTTTGTTTTCCACAAGGCAATCGGTGTACTTAGCACCTATGTTATAATGCTAACTTATTTATTTTATAAATTGCTATATAATGGTGCACATGTATATATTCTTATTGTAAAACAACGAAGAATGCTGCAGCACTCTTCTAGTTTAATATGGTGGTGACCTTGCGTGACCATAATGCCACAACGTACAAATTAAAGCATTGTTCATAACAAAAGGTATGGTGAATCACATATTTATCCATGCATGGTTTTATAGGACCACAGCATCACAATTGGAAACTTTCCACACATGGTGTTACAGTTCATCGTGATAGAGTATGTTGTTCAACAACTTTTTCTTCTTACATCCCCAATTGCATTTAGTATTGCACAAGGAATTGAACATCGCAAGCCTAGTGGATTGAAGCTGTATAATGTTTGAGGTGGAGGGAGATTTTGAGAGAACAATTGCATAGCCATCATCCATGTTATCAGTTCCATCAGGAAAAAATTGCCACAAAAGGCTTCCGGCCCCACTCCCTCCTTTCTTTGTGGAGTTTAGGATGGTATTGTACACACTACTTATGAGTGTATCTCTGTATGATGAATTGTAGCCAGGGTCTTTGGAAGATACACCAAACTCAGCAAAAATAACTGGCATTCCAAGATGCTTTTCAGCATCCTCTATGTGGGCTTCCATCCATGATTTTACAAATGAGAGATGAGAATCAGCAATTTGTTGTGAAATCCTTCAACCAGATAGCTGATTAAGTCAGAACTGTAGTATATGTATGTCAAATAAATCACTTACAAAAATTAATGTTTCTGATACACTAGACAAATGTGCATGCATATGAATATGTAATACTGATATAAACAGTTCGTATAAGAATTTAATTTAAATGCATTGACAGTATAACTGTCATCCAATCACATGATGTCATGTATGGTAAGTTTCTCCACTTTTATTATAATTACCTTAGAAGCCTATTGGTTGACATACTTAACATATTTTCTATTGGTTGACAATATGAAAATCTTTATACTGACAAAACGTGAAAAAGAAACTCCTTACATGAACGTTTGACATAAGTAAGTTTTATGAACTTCATATTTTATTAATAAAACAGTAGCAATTCTGAAGAGACTTACCAAGAGTCAGCATATACATGAACAGAAGCGAAGTCCACACCAAGAGCCAGGTG